ACCATCTCTTGGTACCAAATCCCTCATCCCACTATGACAAATATCCCCAAGTCCAGTTCTAACATCATTTCCATCACTACCACCCTGCCTACACTTTCTCTTCACTTACCCTTCATCTCATCCTCACTGCTAAATTTTCTCCTGCATTTGCTTTGGTAGTCCATATACTAAAATTGGAATGATACAGAGAAGAGTAGCATACCAGATGTGTAAGGATGACACAGAAATTCATGTAGAGTTCCACAATTTAAATAAAAGCTTCCTGTCCTTTAAGAGGACTTGCTGGAGGTCTTCAAGCTATTAATCAGATATCAGTGACCTCAGAATGGTTTGTATTAGCATAAGAACTATGATACATATATAATTTGAACTCATGGCACATTCTAGAAGTGTTGATGCTGACAGGCTTTTCTGGGGCCCTCCATGTAAGCAGCTGGAACAAGGCAAGGAGAGTTGGAATGTGTGGACAACATCTTGCTTGAGATTAGCTATAGAGGTAAGGAAAAAACAAGAAGTGTCATTTATTTATGTGTTACTTTATTAGACAATCAACATTTTTTTCCTAACCTCTCTTGTATACTAAGTACTGAGCTAGGTGTCTGTCACACTTTGCTTTGTTTAAGCAACTTTAATGAGAGGGAATGACTGTCCCCACTTCACCAATGAAGAAATGGAGGCCCGAAAAAGTATGGCAGTATTCCAGAGGTCAGAAAAGATGAATGTTGGGGACTGCAATTGAAATCTAGGTCCAATTCCAAATCCCAATCTCAAATCCCCAGGTGACTTCAAGTGTAGCCAAGTTTGATGAGTTGACCTCATTGGGAAATGGTATCACAATTTATTTTCTCTTTTTAAATTTCACATATTAGGAGATAATGTGATATTTGTTTTTCTGAGTCTCCTAGAGAATACATTATTATTAGAAGAAAGATGAGATTAAGAGGAAGGTACAAGTGGTATAGGAATGAGTGAAAAGGGGCTGAATACTGTATCAGTTAGGGTTCGCTAGAGAAGCAGACAGTATGAAATAAATAAGTTTACTTATTATATATCAAGGATTTTCTAGGTACCCTTCTAGTGGCCACCTGTGGACTCAGGTGGCAGAACCCTAAATGGCTGCCCACTCTCTGGACAGCCAAAGAATCCAGTTAAAGGTTGATAGCTTGGAGTTCAATGGAGGATTTAAAAAAAATTTATTAGTATATGTTTGCAGTGCATAATTACCACTTTCTTTGTAGGAAGTTGGTACGTGTACATAGCACATCTTTTTAAAACTATATTTTTATTAGAACATATTTGTCATACATATTCACCACATCTGTACACACCTTAATCTTCTTTTTCCTATTCCCCTCCCCTCCCTTCAACCTTTCTTTCCCTCCTACTTAAAAGCCCTTGTTTCTATGTTTTCTTTGCATTCTCTTCATTTCACTTCTCTGTTCTTTCTCTTGCCCCTCCCTGCTCTCCTGCTCCACTTCCTGTTTGAACATGTTCTTCCTTCCTCTCAACATCTGTCCTCCATTATGCTCTTTATTTACTCTTTGTGCTCCTCACACAAGAGAAACAATGTATTATTTAAACTTACGTGTCCATTTTATTTCACTTTATGGTTATGGTCTTGAGGTTCATCTATTTTCTTGCAAATGACTCAAACTTATTCTTCTTGTTGTTGGAGTAGTACTCCATTTTATATAAACACCACATTTTTTAAAATCCATCTATCTTTCAGTGGGCATATAGGCTGTTTCCAAGATTTGGCTATTATAAATTGTGCAGCTATAAACATGCCTTTGTATATATGATTGTGGTATGATGCCTTAAACTCCTTCAGGAAGGTAATTAGAAGGGGAACAGCTGGGTCAAATAAAACCTCTAGTTTTAAGTTTTGGAGGAATCTCCATACTGATTTCCATAGTGCTTGTACCAGTATACACTCCCAAACAATAGAAAGAGGTTCTTTTTTTCCCACAGCCTTGCCAGCATTTGTTATTGGTTGATTTCTTTTCTTTCTTTTTTTAAAAAAAAATATTTATTTATTTGTGTGTGTGTGTGTGTGTGTGTGTGTGTGTGTGTGTGGCCAGCTCAGCCCACCAGGGAGTGGGGCTGGCTGGCATGTGGTGCTGGGGGATTGAACTGCGGTCCCTGTGCTTTGCTAAGCTTGTTCTAAGTAGGTGCTTTAGACCACTGAGCCATCTCACCAGCCCCTGGTTGATTTGTTGATAACAACCATTCTTTCTGGAGTGAGATGGAATCAAAATGTTGTTTTGATTTGCATTTCTCAAATGAACAGTGATGTGATATCAAGCAATTTTTCCCCTTTCTCCTCCAACTTTATTGGAATAGTTTAAAATTAAATTTTCTATTTTCTATGACTCAGTTGCTTTTTCCATCTCACTTTTAAAAACTTATTACAGCAAATGAAACAGCTGCCTAAGTGATATAGTATACAAAAATAACGTCTTGATTTCTGTGAAAATGCATTTCTCTGCAGTTCCTGAATAGCTCCAAATTATGCTAACTCTAAGCATCAATGTTTACTCTGGGTTTTATATTTAGTCTTTGAAAAACTGTGTTCTAAACCTTTGCCATCCCCATCTGTATGTCCACCACCAATTCTGTGATGAAGGTGTTTCTGTCTAGGTGGCTATCTGTTCTCTTGCACAGCCACACAGCCACACAGCCATTAGTGTATATGTTGTCTTTTTGTTTACTCCCACTCAACTGTATGTTCTATGAGGGTCTGATACAGATATTACTTGATGTCATTGGACAGCTACAGAGGTCAAACAATCCAAGGCCATCATTATGCTAAAATTAAAGTTATTTAGGAAGTTCAAAGACACTTCCAGAATTGGTTTTAACTCCTACATGGGAACATATTCAAGAAGCCCAGGATGGACTTAATGGTCTGACACCTCTTCCCATTCATCAATCCCTATTCACCAGTGGCACAGAAAGGGGGTTCTTTAACAAAGCATTATAATAACACCTCTACCAAACTAAACATAAACTTATTTGTAGTTAAATGCAGAAAATTGGTTTTTTTCCCACCCCTTTCCTCCTTTTACATGGCAAGTAAAGCTCACTGGCCAGGGAGTAGCCTCTATCTGCCAACCTTTGGCCAGTGAAGAGGATTCAGAGAAAATAATACGACCATCAATCAGAAAAAGGAGGGGCAACAAAGGAAAGTAATTAGACTGTGGCCTCAGTTGTGCACTCCCATACAAGATGCCCTGACTTGCCACAGCAATAACAGTTGACTTCACTTATCTTGCTGCAATTGGTGGCTACCTGACTAGTCTCACCTCAACTATAGTACTTCACTTTGGTGCAGTCTTTCTGAATGTGTCCAAACTCTCCACAACAATAGCACTTCTGCTCATCCACATGGTCACAATCATGAGCCAGATGACCTGGTTTGCCACAACTGTAGCAACACTTCTCCCACTTTCTCTTTGGCTCCTTACAGTCCTTGGCAATGTGGCTACCTCTACTGCAGTTATAGCAGGCATCTTCCTGAAGATCACAATCCTTGGTACTATGACCAGACTCACCACAATGGTAAAAGATGTGTGAAAGAGATCTGGAAACCTCTATCTGAGATAAAAACCACCTCTGCCACGGCTTCTCATTCCACAACCACAACCTCCTCCAGTAGGAAATTCCCGGGCCCAGTGGCCCGATCATTCACACTTGAAACACTCATTGCTGCTCATGGCTGCAGTCATATCTTTGACCTCTGAGCGGACCTGCAGCGGCAGAGAGTCAGACACATGTCCAGCGAAGGAAGCTCACGAGGCAGCAGCTATTTATTCTCAGGGTTCTTGCCTGCACCACATGTGGGTCTGCACTCAAGCATTTTTTGATGAAATTGTTGTTTTCATTGTCTTTTTCTAGAATATCCATCAGAGCTTTATGGACTGTTGATATGGTAGTCATGAATTCTTTAAGGTGTTATGTTTCATAAAAGTATCTTTTCTCTATCATTTTGGAAATTAGTTTGCAGATTCCTCACTGTGGGTTAGAGGTTATTTTCATTCTAGAACTTGAAATATTTCCCTCCAAGCTTTCCTTGATTTAACAATTGAGTTGAGAGGTCTCTGTACCTCTGATGGGTTTTCCTTTATAGGTGATTTGTTTCTTCTCTCTTACAGTTTCTAATATTCTGTTATTCTGTAATATTTCAGGAATCTTGACTATCCCTTGGTGTAGTTTTTCTGGTAATGACTAATTGGAGTTCTATATGCACCAATTATCTGAATATCAAATTCCTTTTCCATGTTTGCAAAGTTTTCTGCTATTCTGTGAACAAGTTTTCTATGTCCTTTGTGCTATCTTCTGATTTTCTTCTTTTATTCTGATAAATCTTATGTTACTCTTCTTTGTATCATCTGGCAGCTGTTGGACTGATTTTTTTGTGGTCATTTACGATTTGTAAGAAGTCTTTCATTTGGTGATTGCTACCCACAAGCCTTTCTTTTAGATATGATATTTCATTTTCACATTGGTTGATTCTACTGCATGTACTTTCAATAGAATTTTTGATATCCTAGATATCTGTTTGAATATGTTTTATGGGATACAGTTCTTTCCTATGTTGGACAGTCATGGTTTCCATCATTTTTCCAAGCTCCTCCATTTTTAACATCTGTATCTATTATAGAGTCACTAACCATGTCCTTCATTATGTTCATCATCTCTTTAGTTATCTGTAATTTTTCTGAGACAGAATAATTCTGAAATTCACACTGACTTTGAACTTGCACAAATCCTCCCCCCTCAGCCTCCTGGATGCTGGATTTACAGATATGCACCACCATGCCCAGCAATCTATGTAATTATTTCCAGTGTTTTAAAAGCTACTCATTTGTTTGTTACTTTGGCTGTTGTCATTTCAGAAAGTTCAGCTGTTTTACTTCTGATTTCTTCTATCTTAAGGCCCCTTAGATTTGAGTTGAGTGAGCTGGAGGTTTGGAGTTGCATCTTGCTTCTGTGTTTTCTCTATTTATTTGCTTTTTAAAAATGCTTCTAAATTGCTTGTGGTGATTAGCTTTATTAGTAGTATCCAAGTATCTTTAGGAAATGATTACTTTTCAGAGATGTCTTCTAGATGTGGATGGATTTTGGTTTTTGAGTATATCCCAAGATCCTCCCTATTCAGTTTATTAAGGATAATAAGTTGCTGCCCATTTGGCCTACAATCTAATTCTTTGTTACTGGGCCATGGTATTGTTTATAACCCTCAGGCAATCTTGGTATTGACACACATGGACAGACATTTGATCACAACAGCTCTGTCACCTTGGCTGAAATAGTACAATCAGTAGTAACAATAGCATCAAATAGAGACAAAAAATGGCAAACTGTTTTAACTATTAATTAGCCACCTTAAACCATAGGTATAAGATTGATAATTATATTTTAAAAATGAAAAAAATCAGAAAAATATAACTGTAAACATCTACTCAACAGAGTGTTTTTACACTCGGGATAAAATTTAAAAGAGATGAGGAAAATAGAAAAATTAAAAGAATGAGATTAGAAGCAACACTGAAGGACAAAAGAAGATAACTCAATATTTGGGAAACTAGTGAACAAGAGAAGAGAAAGAAAAAAGAAGAAGAAGAAATAAAAAAAAAAACAAGAACAAAACAGAACAAAGCCTAATCTTGACCCTTACCCTAACTTCTAACCCTAACCTTAACCCTAACCCTAATTCTAACCAGTAGTGATACATTGAGGAACCAGCATTCTGCTCTGAACTCCTATGGGACTCAGAGAGCAGGTATGGTGACAGCTCTTCACACCAAGACTGTGAGTGAACACCAAGAGTGAAGCCAGTCTGGCTTTCAAAAACATATGGGCCTGTTGGAAAAAAAAAGAAAGAAAGATTACAGACTTCATGTAGATGATAATCGTGAAAAACAAGAACTCCACAAAACTCTTAGGAAGAAGGCTCTTGAAAGAATCCAGATAAGTTGTACTACAAAATCACTTGGCGTGGGCCTGGGAGATACCTCAGCGGACTAAGCGCCTGCTTAAGGAAGCACAGGGACCAGGGTTTGATCCCTGCCCCATCCCCAGGTGCTGAACGGGCCACTTAGACCAGTTGTGGTAGCGCATGGCTGTAATCCCAGCCCTGGGAAGGCTGAAAACAGGAGGATCACTATGATTCCAAGCTGCATAGTGAGACCCTGTACCAAATATAATATAAAAAAGAAAAGAACAACTTGGCTTAAGCTCCGTGATTGAGTTCAAGAAATCAGGATGTCAAATATATGGAAAGAAAAAGGGTTTCAAAAAGCTAAGAAAATTGAAAGACTGAAGTCAGAGCTCCATCTGCTGGATATTCAGGGAAAGCAACAGAATAAGCACGCATCCTTTTCGACACCCAAAATGAAATTGAACAGTTTGATAGTGCCACTCACCTATAAACAGCCCTGCAACTAGTTTACAAAGCCTATAACAGACCCAAGACAGAGCCCTTGCAGAAAGCAAAAGTGAAAGTAGTTACCCATCAGACTTGACTGAAGGGGATAGCTAAAGAAAGACAAAAGCAGTATAGTTGCCTGACAGCTGATTGAAAGAGAAGAAATTGTTTGTTACTACACAGAAAATTCAAATGCAAAGATCTTATGGATAAAACTCAGAATGTGAAGGTGAAGAAATAGTGAATGCCCCACTCACTTACAAATTTCAGTCATCAGGAACATGGAGAATGTTTCATTCTGCTTCGAAAAATAATTCAAATTTTCATTAGAACTTCAAATTCCATTCATTCCAATGGCATGATCTTCTTGCTTATACCCATGGTGCATTGTTGATCTAATATTTGATATCTTTCTATGAGCAATAATAAAGCCTCCTTCTCCATGCCACTGTGTTTGATTTGTTAAATCAGTCTTAATTTTTATACAGTACTTACATTTTTTCACTATGAATGTTACATGATCTCCTTACAACAAAGAGAAGATAGATGAATTTGTTTCTAATTTCAATATTTATTCAAGGACAACAAATAAATATTGCATATTGGAAGCTGGAACTACTGGGATGAATACTTGCTGTGAACACTCTGGTTTATTGTCTTCATTTTATAAAGTTGTGTCTTAGTTTTTATTTATATTTTGTGTTTTGTAGCTGTAATTTTAATAAACAATCACAAAAAAACAAAAACAAGCTATCAAGAAGAGAAAGCTAAGTATCTGCCTGTCAAGTGCAAGGACTCGAATTCAGTCCCCAGACCTGCATGCCATAATGGCCCCAGCACCCCAGGCGCACCGAACTGGCCCTAGAACTGGGAATGCTGGTGCACACCTGTAATCCCAGCACTGGGGAGGCTGAGACAGAAGGATCACTGTGAGTCTGAACTGTGTAGTGAGACCCTGTATCAAATAAATAAAAAATTTAAAAAGAAGAAAAAGCAAAGGAACAGAAAAAAAGAAAGAGATTTATCTGTGATTTCAAGCCTGTCAAGCTTAATTTCATTAAGAGAGTTCTGGGTAGATCACCTTGGGTGGCTCTGACTGGGTTGACAAAGTTGCAGTCTTCTTAAAGTATAATTATTGTAGTTATAACTTCATAGTATCCTTTTCACAAAGTAAGAGTAGGAAAAGAAGGAAACACTATGGCATGGTGGGCATCATGCAAAACAGAATACACACACACACAAAAAAAAAAAAAACAGAACACAAAGGCAAAAACTTAGTGTGGACTGTCCTTTCCTATATAACCCATTCCTCAGGCTGATGTCTGGTCTAGGCCATCTTATCAAAAATCTTGAGTTTCTATGAAAAGTCCATATGCAGAACTTGGGTAACGTCTCTATATTTGTCCTGGAATTTTATAACTAATAGGTCACATCCACTTCTCCAACCAGTCTTGGGACACCCCAATCTGTCTCATTTTCCTTTGAGAGATGTATATCCCCATAGTCCTAAGCAAGTGAAGGTCTCTGTCTTCTATAGCTGATTCTGGCTGAAAGGCACTGTAGATCATACATATTAGGGATTATGTGCCATTCAGCCACCTTGGGGTGTAGGGGCTCAATGATTAGGTTAAAGGGGGGAAAACCTGTCAGAAGACAATGAGAAAAGACTATTAAGATGTGTGTTCAATGGGAGAAAGAAACATTACACTATTAGCCCAAATATGAAGAGCAGGTTATATTTCCATGCTTCTTATGGATGAAAATATGTGGGACAATGCATGGCAAAGGAGGTCAGATAAGTTACTGAAAGCCTGAGAGCCATAGACTTAGGAAGAGTACCCACACAATGGGCTTAATCAAAATAGGAGCCTCAATACAGGTGCTCAATTAAGCAATACTGGAGTTGTATTTTCTGAAAAGGAGCCTCAGGTCTTCCAGACAATCTCAGGAGTAACTTTCTTCTTAGTCTTGTGAAAATTCTAGTGAGCATTTCCATGTAGGATTTTTATAATTTCATTTTATAGCTTTACTGTATTCTTTAAGGAAGAACTAGATGCTTGCTCAGCAGTTGGGAATAAAGCTAGGGTCTTGAGGGGCTATGGGGCTACACTTTTTGCTTATCAGCCATTTGCTTTCCCAAGGGGACTTTAGAGTTGTCCCTCGGATCACTTGAAATGAATGCCAGTGACCTATTTAGGAAGATAGAATACTTCTAAGAGTTTTAGAATTTCTGCTTGTGTTTTATAAATGATTGCCCATTAGCCCACAAGCTCCTTTCCAGAAGCA